CTCCCACAGGTGAGCTGTGCCTTTCCTTTCTGTTTCCAATTATTCCTGTTTCTTCACCAGCCTTAAATGTCTGGCAGACGTCAACAAATGGGGCCCCAAACAGTTCACCCAGAATCCCTGTGTTGCCCCCTCTCACAGCTTGTCACGTAAGATTAGTGTGGTCCCACCATCCCTGAGGTGTAGTCAGACCAGGTTGCCCCGCATCTCATCTACGTATAAATGTTTGGAGGATCCGAGGACTGGTGACAACAACATCCAGTTCCAGTCAAGAGCGGGGGGCAAATTATCACATGCATCCTTTGTGGGAGGTATCTGGAGTACACACACATACTGAGAAGTGGTGAGCTATGGTATCACCAGGGCTTGAAATGCTGTTGATTCTGCTGGGGGCCAGCACAAATTACATGGTAAATCATGAGCCTTTTGGCTTTGAACTAATGTTATTCATGGTTTTTACTGTATATACATGCAGGTACAAAAGTGCTGCTTAAAAGTATATTTGTAGAATCCCTGTGCTAAAACTTGCATCTGTTTAAAAAAAAAAAAAAAAGTTAAAATGCATCAATTCGTCTGTCAGTGTTTTCAGATTTGCCCCTCACCTCCATGTGCTCAGGGAGAGCAGAGTCTCACAGTAAGGTGATATGCAGGCTGCAGAAGGAAGAATTTGCCAGGCAGAGGGCAAGGGGGGCACCTGACCCCTCTCCCCCTTATTTTCCCTGTTGTAGCAGTGGGAGGGGGACAAATTTGCAGGGACAAATTTGAGGCAAACCTCCAAGTTTATAAACTTCCCATATATAAAATCTAATTATTCAGGGTTGTCTTATAGTCAAGTAAATGCAATAGTTCTTGAGGTTTTAAGTCAGAATCATCTCTTCAATACAGGGGAAAAAGAGAAACGACCTTCTAGTCTGACCTCCACCATTTTCAGGGGTTAAGAAAAACCCATGCCTATGGGACACTTTCAGAAGATTCTGTTGCTCTGCAAGGCTTTGGGCCACTTGCAGGTACTGGGAATATGGAGAAGGCAACCAAAATGTATTCACTTTCTATCCCAGTTTTCTGCTCAAAGCAGAAATGTGGGGCAGAAAATTTTCCAGCGCTTTATTTTTCTGTGGGAAATTTTCCATTTCTAAAAATTGTTTCTTAAAATTCATTTGTAACAATGAATGGATGCTAATACAATGTTAGGCAAGCTTGGCAGTAGAGCTGTGTGAAGCTTCAATAGCCGATTCAATTCGGAGAAGGTACAGACCAATTTGGTGGCCGAATCTCCAAATCCAAATCAAATAAGGAGACCAATTAAAAGGCCCAAATCAAATCGCAAGCCTCCAAATCAATTCGGAAAAGATTCTGATGTCAGATGGATGGACTGATATACAAGGAAATCCTTTATTGAACATAATGTTAGCAATACCTGAATCAATATTCCTGAAAGCAATTGCTAACAAACCTTCTCATCATACAGGTGCATACATAGCCAAATACTGAGTGAAGAGACTGAAAATGCAGATCCCTCCAGGCTACAAGCCCTTGTAACCGATAAGGCTAGTAACATGAAAGTTTCATGGCAAATATTAGAGGCAAAGTATCCTCATTTAATAGTATCTGGCTGTCTTGCTCATGGGTTGAATCTTCTGGCAAAGAACATAGTCAGTGTGAATACAATGAAGACAATACTGGCAAACTGCAAAGCGATTGTGAAGGTATGCAACAATCATCATGTTGCTAATCAGACTTTGAAGAAATTACAGAAAGAGAAGCAGGGGAAGGAAACTGCACTTTTTTGCCAGGAGAAACTAGATGGGGCTCAGCTACAAAGTGTTTGCATAGTTTGCTGCACACAAAGAACTGTTTGCCGTGTGCTTCAATAGATCACACAGTATCCCAGATTATTCCCGTGAACATTTGGAAGCAGATTCTCGACAATGATGTGTTCTGAGTTCGAGTTCAAGGAGCATTCAATTTGCTATTACCAGTTTCAGTGGCTATCAAGAAACTTGAAGGAAATACACCAAGCCTTTCAAATATTCCAGAAATATTCAGACAAGTGAATGAAAATCAAATTGAGCTTTTGCCTTCTTCACCTCTATCCAAAAAGATTAATTATTTACTGCTCTTGATACAATTATGGAAGTACCTAAGAATGGCCTGAACATTGACAAAATAGCCGTGATGACAGGCATTGTCGAGTACCACGCAGAAGAAAAACTTTGAAGCAAAGATATCATTTGGCGGGCAGCAGAGAATATGTCTCCTCTCATATGGTGGAAGGGATACTGTAACAGACTTGTCCAGGATTGCTCTAAGGATCCTAAGCATTCCACCAACAGCAGCTTCTTGTGAACAGGACTGGAAGGCTTACAGGTCAGTCAAGACAAAAAAGAGGAATAGACTAACAAATGAACGCACCACTAAACTTGTTTCTATTTCTCAAAATCTCTTGCTTCTGGAAAATCAGCCAGAAGCACAATTAGTGAAGAAGATACAGTATGATAATAAGTTGCCCTTGCCCATAGACTCATTGGTAAAACCATCCTTTAGTGAAAGAGAATGTGGTTCAAGTAGTTCTGAATCAGATTTGCCTCAATCTGATTTTGAAATGAAACTAATAAGTAGTGCAAGTGATTTTCTGGAAAATTTTCCAATTCAAAATTTACTGGAAATCCAACATCTCTGGCTCAAAGTGAGGAGGTTCATTTCAGCATGTCTGCCTTATATAACTACGCTTTACCATTTCCAAAAGAGTCAGTCTGTTTGATAACTAATTTACAAAACTATTTGGGGATACAATATCAAGAAGGCTTGTAACTTACCTGCAGGACAGCATCCTTAAATTCAAAGAATCCTTTTTTTGAAAGGTAAATTGACATTACAATCTGTTTGAGATAAATGTCATTACAATGCTTCTACGTTATGGAATGGTAAAATAGTTAGAGTCCCTAGCTTACAAACTATCAACACTGTTATACCATTACATCCTTGCTTAGTTTCAGCTCACTGCCATTCAACTAATGCTGTTGCTATAATATGTACATATAACATCTACACTGATCTCAGCATTAACTGATGTAACACCATTTTCATCATCCATAATGCTTGGCAAGTGTCAAGCATAATATGATGTGAACATATGACAGCTATAAACTTAATGGGGGCTTGGTAGTCACTTGTTATAAGCAGTAAAAAGACTGCACAGTAATTAATATTAAAGTAATTTTAAGAGAGTAGACTCTGATACTACTAAGAGATTAAGATCATTACTTTGAAACTTCACATCCAAAAAACCCATAAAACACTATTAACAGCAGCTGCATCTACACATGCACTGAACTGCGGAGTAGACTAATTAGCTGCAAAGTAAAGCATCACTGTCTACATGTGAGATGCTATTAGGCTGCAGTAAACTAATTAATGCAGCCATAAGACAGTAATGTCAGTGTGAAAGTCTGAGGATCTCGGAGAGAGATATGTGAAGTAATCCACCCCAGATTTGCTAATCCTCTTTGGTACTCGCCTGCCACGCCTTTGATGTTAAAGGAAATCCAAAAGGAAAAAGTAAATATTTGGAGGTAACTGTTCTTTTTCAATGCAACATCTCTGACCACCCGGCCTCTTCACAGGGCTTTCATCCCCATCCCCTACCCTTACCACACCAAATGTTTTGGGGTGTAATTCCTTAATTATATTCCATGCTCAGGGAACCAACGCAGTCTTAAGAGTGCTTATAAAGCACATGCTGCATGGGTCACAAACCATTCCCAGCACTTGGGCTTACACCCCCACAAGTACCCCTCTAAGTCTGTCCTTAGGCTTACTTGCCCTTAGAATCTCAGATTAATACTTCTACGAATGTGTTCATGATAATCTCCTACAGCCAGTGTTCAAATTAAGGACCAGAATTTCAGTTTTGTTCTGCTTTAATTCACAGGGTCCTGATCAGGAAAATAGCCAGTTTAACTCAGTTCCTTGGCTTAGCCCTGTGTTCTGTTCCTGTTGAAGGGGAGAACCCTCATTTTCACAGGACAGATCCCCTTAGTTATCCCATCTCTTCTTCTTCCATTTAGGTAACAGACACACAAATGCCTCACTCACTGGATCAATTCCTTGCAGGCCTCCAATGTGATGCTGTTACACCAGCTGTCACCTCAGGTAAGTCTCGTAGCTTTCAGATCCTCCTCTGCTGGACCAGTTGAATCCTGGCTGAGGTCAGGTAATTGCTGCACCTCCACACAGCTGCACAAGCACCTGCTCCTGCCGGTCTCCCTTCTCTGGGGAAAACAACTCACCCAACCCCAGGCTTTTCTACTTCTGGGTCAGCTGCCGGAACCTATCTAGTCAGCTCCCCACTGGCCTACTCTTCCTGCCAGCCCCAGCACCATCAATAAAGCCATAATTCTTCTCAGTTCTCACTTTACTGACTTCCCATAAAGGTGGGGCACTCTCATTCCCTCTGTTCCTCTGTCTTCTTACCAATTGTGCCAGGACATAACTGCTGCCCTGTCACAGTCAGGGACAGTACTATCTTACCGCAGGGTTATTAACTGCGATTAGACACAGACTGAAGGTAAATTGTGTGGGTAAACTGGACCTGGTAAACCCAAACAGCAGAGGGCCAGGCTCTTGCCTGCCACCTAGCCACAGAGCTCCACACTTTCAACACCTTCATGCCCTAGTCAGCCCCTCTGCCACCCAATGCCACAACCTGGTGCCCAGGGTTGCCACCCTATACTCCCGGCCCTGGCATAAATTGCTCCACCCTGGCTCAAATTGCTGTTGCCCCAGGTGCACGTGTAGATGCTGCACCCAGGAGTAGTTTACTCTGGCTCAACCTGCTCCAGACTTACTGCTTCAAATTAATTGCATGTGTAGATGCATCCAATAATAGCATACGTTAATCTTTATCATTTGAACCCGCTACTTAAAATTTTAGTTTGACTTTAAGAACATATCCAAATTTATGCTTTAAGAAGTCATAAGTCAGTAGAAATAAAGCTTCATACCTCAGTGTCCTGAAGTTCATTTCCATCTTCTGTATCTTTCAATAATTCAATTAACCTCTTCTTCTCTTCCTCAAGCATAACCACTTGGTTCCCTGAATCCTTTGCCAACTGAAGTATTTACGGGTAAAATGCATAATAAAAACACTTAGAAACTAGGTTTGTTCATAAGACTGAAGATGTTTAAACAAGCAAAACTTTTATTCTATGCGCAGACAGTTAAAATCTAACCCTACATAACAGTACCTAATGTTATTACCTTGTTTTAGCAAATCTGGTGGCTACCATAAATAAGTTGGTAGTCATATTCTAGTTCCTGATATAGAAGACAACCCACCTCTATCATAATAAGAAACCTTACTGCAGAGAACTTTGGCAAACAGGTCAAAAACCAAAACAAAGCATGGAAAGTAAAGTTCTGCCTACATGAAAGTTGAGGAATTAAGACTTATCATAAATAGCAAACAGCTTGCGTTGCATTGGTATACTTATTCTATAGGCAGATAATTTTAAGACTGCCCATCCAGTATGCTAAAGCTATATTAAATTATCTTTTTTCTTGTTTTTGGAAAAAAAATTATAAAATAATATTTGTCCAAAAATGGACTAGATGGGGAAGTACCTTTACTGCTGCTATACAATCATCTAAAGGCACATTGGTCAAAACCTAATTTGGAATTGCTTCTAACTTTTAATTTTGGCAACCAATGGAGACTCAATTCTGATCTTAACAATACTTTGTACTATTAACAATTTATTTTACAATTTCATTAATTTTAATCTGATTAATTCTTATAAAATCTTTGATTAAAGAATCCAACTGTTTAGAAAACGTAACTTTTTTAAAATAGTTTTCTGTAATTATCAGTAACTTGCTTGGTCATTTTTAATTTTGAGGCATTAATACATACCTCAATGTTCTTTTTAATAAAATTCTGATTTTTTTTAATTTTGGTGTCACTTCCATAGTGTGATTTTTCTGCTTTATTGAACAAGCCACCGGTTTCCATTTCATTTTGACAGTCTGTAGTTAAAACAGTTGTAAAAATGTGATTTGCTTCTCGTTAAACTAAATCAGTACTGAAAGGACAACAATTCCATTTTTTGCCTTGCTTAAATGTATAAAGTAGAACACAATCTGACAAATGGTGAAAATGATAAATGGAAGGGAATTTGGTTTTTTCATTGATAGTATTAACTGGGTAATCATAGAGTCATAGAAAATGAGGGTGGAAGGGACCTCAGGAGGTCATCTAGTTCAACCCCCTGCTCAAAGCAGGGCCATCCCAAACTGTATCACTCCAGCCAAGGCTTTGTCTAGCTGAGTCTTAAAAACCTCCAAGGCTGGAAAGTCCACAACCTCTCTGGATAACATGTTTGAGTACTATACTACTTCCAGTGTAGCATCAGAAGCATTTCAAGAATGAAAATATAGTAAATGAAAGTTTCTTGAGATGCTAACATATTAAAGTTTTCTTATATGTAAGATTACAGTTTTGTGAAGGCTAACATTTTTTGATGGAACCTCACCACAAAATGTTAATATACATTTGCCTTTAAAAAAGGCTTTTTAAGCCTTAAATTAGATAGAGATTTTTAAGAAGTAATACAACTGTCTGGGGACATTTTAAGTGCAGTTCTTAAATAAAACAGATGAGCCCCTGGATGTTCTGAAGAGGTCTGTAAATCATTTTAAAAATCAACTCACACTAGAACTTGCAAGTTTAAAGTTGCTCAACAACAGTCTTAAATATATTAGTCATGACAATTTACATTCAAACATATGTTCTGAGACAAGTGAAATCCTTTAAGCAGTTAATTCAACTTTGGGCTATTATCAGATGTAATACTTTTGTGCGGGCCGGGAGCAGTCCGAGGCTTTCAGGGGCGCGCGGCGGGCTGTGGCCGGGAGCCCGCAACGGTAGTGCGGGTACTTTTGCACGACGGACTAGAATTAGGCACGGACTCGTAGCGGTTAATTAAAGATTGTTTTACTTACACCGTAGGTGGTCGCGGTGCAGGCAGGAAAAACTTTCTTGAGTTGCAGTTACAGACAAACACAAGTGGAGTTTGCTAGGCTCCATCGAAGACACACGCACGGAGTTTGCTAGGCTCCGCAAAACAAACACGACAGAGCTCTGGATACCCTTGACGAGCGCGCAAAACTGTAGATAAGTCTTAAGAATTTAACGAACGAGACGGGAAGAGGCTGGTGGTTGATCAGGCCGCCGAACTCCTCTGAGACACACACAAAGTTTCCATTACTCTGCCGCGTGCTCAGAGTCCCCACAAGACGGTTGTGGAGTCCTCTATCACTCGGGCGGAAACTGCTCAAACCTCTTATACGCCTAGCAAGCCAATCGCTAGTCGCCACGTGGGAATAATTTAGAAACAGCCAATAGTGGGAAACAAATTTACATACGGGTGGCAGGAACTCCTTTGCA